TTGGGTGTGTTTCTTTCACACTTGATGCTTCTGAATTCCATTCTCAACTCTTTTCATTCTTTCACAACTATTTGTGTCACTGTTAATGGGAAAAAATGAGTAGAAACTGTCTGACAATGTGTTTCTCTATCTTAATAATGAACAGTTTTGCCCTTTAGGCAACACATTCCCAGTCTTTTTCAAGCATGTGTGCTCCTCCAGAATTAACGTTTCAGGATCAGATTAGGAGAGATTGTTTATATCTAGATCTCTCATCTCAGGCAAGCAGCCACACGCAGCACAAACAACATACAGTGATGTGAAAAAGTGTTTGCCCCCTTCCTGAGTTCTTATTTTTTGCATGTCACACTTAAATGTTTCAGATCATAAAACAAGTTTAAATATTAGACAAAGATAACATAAGTAAACACAAAATGCAGTTTTTAAATGAAGGTTTTTATTATTAAGGGGAAAACAATCCAAACCTACATTGCCCTGTGTGAAGTGATTGCCCCCTAAACCTAATAACTGGTTGGGCCACCCTTAGCAGCAACAACTGCAATCAAGCGTTTGCGATAACTGGCAATGAGTCTTTCACAGTGCTGTGGAGGATATTTTACTGTTGGTAAGATGTTCCTTTTCTGAAATGCTGTATTACTTTTACGCCAGATGTAATGAGACACACACCTTCCAAAAAGTTCAAAGTATTTTCCTAAAAGTCTTGGGGATCATCAAGACTTTTGGGAAAATACTCTGTGGACTGACGAGACAAAAGTTCAGGTGCAGTTGATGTGGAGATGAATTTCCCCCTTGGAGGTCAATAAATTGAATCTTGAATAAAAGTTATTTGTGAGTAGAGTAAATTTTTGTTGCACTTTCAAATGATAATTGCTGTTATTTGTTGTTCATGATGCTGTCATTTGCTGTGAAGCTCACTGTGATAATTTGGCACAACAGCAACACCCTGCACAGGAAGGTTAAAATTTGCAACTCTAGGCTTCTACAGAAACATCCACATATTGATGCTACATAAATACAATTGCATTGACATTTTATTTGGCAGCAACTTTTGCAACAAAAAGCCAAAAATTTGAGAAACAGAAATAATTAAAGTTAGACCCCTCGGGTGTCCCTGTGCTGCTGGCTAGCACCGGTGCTTTGACAATTAAGAGGCAATTGATGCTAATGCTGTATACTAACCCAAACCAGATTTTAACGACCCCTCTATGCTGTGCAGAGGTTCAAGCAAACTGAAAGTGTTTACAGAAGCTGGAGAAAGTAGTACCAACTAAAATGAGTCCAAAAAAGGAAGACCCAGCGCTCTTAATGACTTCAGGCCTGTAGCCTTAACGTCACATGTTTCTACCCAGTGAGGCACTGAGTCAGTAATTTAATAAAACTCTATGAAAAACATGGTGGATATGGCAGTGATCCTTTAGACATTTAGATTAAAATTAGCTCCTATACTACTATATAAATTGCCTTCTTGTTTTGTCTTCAACAAAAAGACTGTCAGACAACTTCAGCTCATTCAGAATGCCAACAAGAACACTTTCAGTGTGACAGCAGCTGTCAGCCTCTGTCTAACACTTTACAACTCAAACAATTGTCAAGCCAAAGAACAGGAAGCCACAAAGCCACTCTATGATAAAAGATATATTTACATATACAGTATGTGTTAAATAAGCCTCTCTCTTTAACTGCCAGTCTAGGTCCATAAATATTACAGAACACACAAATACACATTCATGCCAGTGCAAGCCTTTGTGGTCATTTGAAAATGAAAGAATAAGTAAAGAGGAAGAAATTACCAGCAGTTCTGCAGTAGAAGTTCTGTGCCACCACTGCACAGCCTGGAAGGTGGGAGTTAACATTACAGTCTAAAGTAAGTCCCAATGTGATGGGAGAATCAACAAATCAGAAGTCATGCAAAGTTCTGATGGTACCTCCCAGTTCCCACATTAAAATCTGAAAAGACAAGAGTTTAGTTTTCAACATTAACTGTTGCACTTTGCTTACACCTGCATTTGCTCTGACATTTTGTGGCAATTAATGACGAGTTTCCAGAATGAACAACAATGGAGAGTTGCACACAGGAGCTAAATTCATCATAGTGACTTACTACTGCTAGTTACTTCTCATGTGAACAAACAAAGAAAACAAGTTATAGGCTGCATCAACCAAGACCACAGAAACTGTCACCATACACTCAGACCTGTTCAGTAAAAAATAAAACAGATTACACCACCAACTTGGAGAACTTCATCTATCATAACTACCAACATAAGTACTACCATAACATAAGTAAGAAAAACAATTATAACCAATAACTGTAAACTTGACCAGAGGGCTGTACTACGAAGGGAGTTGAAGCTAATCAGATTTAACTCAGGATCATCAACACGACTGACAAACAATGGGAAAGGCAATATACTAGTACAGTACATTGACATTATCAGTATAATCAGTTACACTCATAGTGTGGCAGAGCAAGAACAGGAAGCCACAAACATACACAACTCTCTAAACTTACAAAACATCTGTCATATATGATGAGTTTTTTCTCACTTTGATCTACACTCTTCATGACTCATGAGAAAAAAATATCCAACTTTTAATGTATGGAGTTTGTAATGTAATGTCTAAATTGTATCAATAATTAATCCAGGGTTCTACAGAAACATCTGCATATTGATGCTATATAATGCACATCTGTTTGTGTAGGATTTGATGTGTAGGATTGATGCTTTTACAAATTGAGAGAAGAGCTGTGCACATTTTACACACAGCATTCGTAATTTAATTAGTTACTGAAATCTCCCTTGACAGCTCCATATGGACCTCTTATGTACATACATTTAGAGAACCATGAAGGGGGAAGAAATTGAACTTCAACCAAAAGGAGACAGGCGAAAACATCCACATCTATCACTGTGGCTGTCAGTGTTAAGATAACTGTCAGGCAGTTGCATTTTACGAAGCTTTACCTTCATCCACAATTTCTATCATGTTCAGAATGTAATATGCTTCCTCATATTCTCAGATAGTTTGGTGTCATTATGATGATCTGTTCAGCATTGGTAACTCCTTTTTACATTTTGTGTTAGAGAAGAAAAGAGTCACTGGGGTAAAGGCGCAGTTGGCTGCATTGATACATTGTGAATACTGAATTCTAAAGCAGTTACTAGTGATTATTTCAGATTCCATTGAAAAAACAACAACAATTGTGCTGTTGATTTTTTATTGTCAACAAATCCCATGAAAAGACCAAAACCCTTATATGGGGAAATGATGAATGGACTTCTGCTTGAAGGTTGCTGTGTTGAAAGATTTTAAAACCACAAGTCTTCTGTCTGAATCTAAACATGACCACATTCATGCCAATGCATGCATTTGTGGCCATTCAAAAAGAAAGAAGAACAAAGAAAGCAGAAACGTAAGCATCCAGTCAGACAGGCCTGGGCAACGTGTCTGACCACACAGTCGGACATGTTCAGTAAAGAAATTAAAACAGATTACACCACCAACTTGGAGAACTTCATCTACTACTACTACCTAACATAAGAAAGAAAAACAAGAATAACCATTAATTGTAAACTTGACCTGAGGGCTGTACTATGAAGAGAGTTGAACCTACTCAGATTTAACTTGTAGGAACGTGCGGGTTGACAAACTCTGATTGTCTAAACTAGTGTTAAACAGTACTATGATGGTGATTAAGATATTAGTCAGATGATTCAGTATTAACTTACTCTGAGGTTGTGCGGGTTCAAATAAAAGGTGCATGTTCTGCAACACAGACGGCAGAAAGGAAAAACTGCCTTTTATGAGGCAGAAACCTTGGACAGAGCCCGGCTCTAGGTGGGTGGCCAACCAGTAAGTTTGGTGTTATTTTTTATTTTTCTTATTGTCAACAAATCCCATGAAAAGACCAAAACCTTTATTTAAACAGGGAAATAGTGGATGTTGTTTCTACAGTTTTATTGCACTCATTAGTGGACCTGGACTGCATCAATGTGGTCTTTAAAAAATGAAAGACGATCAAATAAAGCAGAAAAGAAAGCAATCAGTCAGAATGGGAACATAACAAATTCATTCTGGCAGGGATTCTGAATTCCCTCAGATGAGAATCAGTATCTTACATAGAGACCATCATCGGGGTAAGCTAGAGGATCCTGACGGCCTTTGAAGACCCTCGCCCTCTGCATTAACCATAAAGATAACCTGCTCGTAGTACAGCCCTCTGCTCGTCTCAATCCACAAAGAGTGTGGAGAGTAGTACTCTGGAATTTTGTTACAGTTGTGACAGTCACTCAGTGTGTTCCTAATGTCTCCCTGTGTGTATTCCCTTCCTTGTGTTTCCAGTCTGCCTCTGTCTCTTTGTGTGTTTCTGTTTGACTGTGATTCTGTTGGTGTGCCCACTCTCCCCTGGCTCCCAGCTCTGCAGTTTCACACCTGGACTCAATCGGTCCCTCCTGTCAGCTCACCTGCCCCACAGTTTTATACCATTAGTTGATGATATCATATGATTAGCAACCACTACAAAACCCCAGTAATTACTGTTTTGCTTCCTCTTATTCAACATAATGTGCTTTCAAAAACAGGAACTACATTTTCCTGTTGGTATATATTTAGAGGCTGTAAGGTGCAGCTCTCACCAGATGCAGAACTGTCCACCAAAGATGAAGCTGGCAAAGGGCTTCCTGGAGAATTTTCCCTCTGCAAAACTCAGCATCTACGCCACTGTCATTGTGATCTTTACTTACAATGTTTTACTTGGGAGAGACCTGAAATGCACTTGCCAACCACAAACCATGTATTGCAATTTATACATGGGTCTGCCAGTTGGTGTCATATTTTTCTTGATACTCTGGATGGACAAGAAGTTTCTGAGAATCTCGAAATACGCATGTACCTGTCAGTTTAAGAATTGTATCAGTTTTAAATTTGGATCCTATCAGAAATGTTTGACATTTGTTGGTGTTTTAATCCGTCACATGATCAAAGCACTTTTAGTTGGTGTGCTGTGGGTTGCCTCTGTGTTGATCGATGGAGACTGGTTTGTTTGCTGTAAGAACAATCAGTCTGAAGAACAGATGAAGTTAGCCTGCAAAGCCAAAAACAACATCACAGCTGAGGAACAAGTAATCATTGCTGAACTGAAAAACGAGTCAGAGGTGAGTCTTTTCTCTCTTTACTCACATTATGTCAGCCTAGTCGATACAAGAGTTTGTGTAATAGGAGACTGTATTACAGTCTAACTCTACTATAATTGTTGAATCAGAAAAAACACTGAAATGTGAAAATAATGTTGAATGATTTTCATCATTAGGTTGGTAAATGTTGGCATTTGTTATTTTATAATATAAAAGTCCATTAATGACCATAAACTACCATCTAAATCTATTATTGTGGTGTCGTTTATCGTGGTATGGAGTGTTTTATTTGTTGATTGTAATTCCTCTTTATTTAGAATTGTATGATGCAGAGAACATTTGATCTGTTTTGTCTTAAGTTTAAGATGTTCTGACTGTGACATATGTTTTCTGTAAAAGGCAAAAACTGGGTTTCATTTCAGCGAGACGATGGCTTTTTGTATGTTTTTCTGGATGACCTGATTCCCACGAATGTTGAAGTGTGGTCTTTCTGACTGATCAGCCTGTGTATCATCATGTAATCACTGTAAGAACATATAACCATCTATCTTTGATGCTTCTTTTCAGATTATTGGCTTCTCAATTCTCTTAGCCATCATATTTCTTGCGGTCCTGCTGTCTCTTATTGAATGGAGGAAATGCTGTGAAGGAATACCATTCTGTTGTGACAGAAACTTTCTGTATGACAAACTGATTGTGGAAGAAGAGGACAGTGTACGTAAAGAGATTGTCAGAGAAAAAGCGAAACAACACTTGACTGCAGCAGTTAATAAAAAAATAGTAGATGATGAGGACTATATTGATGTTGCTGACCAACTGATCACCAAGGGCCTTCATAGAAACAACATGGAACATCAACAACAACAACAACAACAACAACAGGAGCAACAACAACAACAGGGGCAACAACAACTGGAGCAACAACAACAACAGGGGCAACAACCACAACATGAGGGGCAACAACAACAGGAGCAACAACAACAGGAGCAACAACAACAGGAGCAACAACAACAGGGGCAACAACAACAGCAGCAACAACAACAGGGGCAACAACAACAGGAACAACAACAACAGGGGCAACAACAACAGCAGCAACAACAACAGGGGCAACAACAACAGGAGCAACAACAACGACAGGGGCAACAACAACAGCAGCAACAACAACAGGGGCAACAACAACAGGAACAACAACGACAGGGGCAACAACAACAGGGGCAACAACAACAGGGGCAACAACAACAGCAGCAACAACAACAGCAGCAACTACAACAACAGGAGGAGGAACAGCCACAACAACAGGGGCAACAACAACAACAACAGGAGCAACAGGAACACAGTCAGGTCTGTTTCTGACCTAATGAGTCACCATATCAGTTTCCTTGGTAAAGATAATGAGAGAGCCCAAACTGTGAAACGTAGATTACATGTTGTGAAGCAGTTTTATTTGTAAACCACATTTGTTACATGGTGGGCACAAACAACAACAAATGTAATAACAACATTCATTGTAAACATGATCATTTGATGACAATGTTTTCTTTCTGGAAATAAAACCAGGCAGAGGGAAGCAATTCCACTCAATAAAGGGAGACAAAGAAGACAGAGGTGAACAGACAGAAACTCAAGTTTCTTCTTCTGTGCTTGATAGACCACTGGTGGCAATTTGTACCAGATATTGTCTCATTATTAATATATCTGAATTATATATAAATTATTGAAATAATTTATATAATTAATTATATAATTGTAATTGTAATTGTGTAATTGAGTTAATAGTTTTCTGCATGTGTTCAATGCAGAATATGGGAGCTGTAAGAACTTTGGTAAAGTGCGGGAGTGCCACCAGTTGAAGGAGCTGAGAAACGTAAGTAGTTATGCAACTAATTACTCATGGTGTAATAAAAGTAATGTGATTGCTCACTATTACAGGTTTCTCAAATGTTAACTCACAGTGTGTTTTGTATTTTTACAGAGAGAAGAAACCAGTTCAGATGAAACAAAGGTATATACATACACATCCTTTCTGAATTGTTTTGTAAAAGAAATCAGTCATTTAATCTCTTTAATGTCTCGAATTTTGTTGCATCACCAAATGTTTTGTGTTGTTTCAGCTCAACAGGAAAATGTTTCCAATCTCTACTGCTAATTACCAAGTCTCTTCTGACCTGTGTGGGGTCTTATAATTTTAAAAATGATTAATAAACTTATAAGGTAGTTTTAAATAATAAAGATTTTAAAAGTTCACTTATATCATTTAATGTCACAGTTCATATTATCACAACGTCTCCATTGTAGACCAACAAACAGGGACAGTTATGTGATTGGCTGTTCCTTTGGTCTAAATGAGCGAATTATTCTTTCCAATTTACCAATTTCTCAATGTTGTTGTTTTGTTTGTTTTAAACAGCCTCTCCTACCACGTGACAGAAATCCAAGGGTCTGATGATGATTCAACTCCTTCATAAAACTCCTGACAGTCAACAGTTATATTACTGATTTATCACATATATTGTATTTGTTACAACTGTTTCTTTGTTCACATTTAAATGTAATAATTTCCTAATAATAATCCCAATCAATAATCTTTCTCCTCAGTTTTGATGTTATTCTCGTCTTTTTCTAGAACATAATAATCAAGTGATTTTTAACTTTTTCTGTTAGCATAACAAGATAGACATAGGAACTGATCTAGAATTTTCTTTTATTCTAAATCTAAATCTAACTTCACATACTGTACTGTGTAAATCATCTGAAGCAGGGTTGATATTTAGACGTCTCTGTATGCTGACGCCACACCTCAGTATCATTTCCAGTCTTATGGAAATAAAACAAATGCATCAGAGGTCAAAGCTGTGTTTTACACTGTGTTTGTGAACGCTGCATTGTCACTGTTAATGTCCTAATCTAATATAAACTGTCTTTGTTGCAAAATGCATTTTTACTTTAGAACTAGAGAAATAAAGAGATTGACAATAACACTTCTGACTGGCATATACACAGTATCTGAGGATATATTTTATTTCTAATAAGGATCTCTTTAACTTGGTTCTTAAAGAATAGTAACTATGAATGTGGAGCTAATAATTAAGTTAGCGCCCTCTGGTGGCCAAACTCTGTAATGAAACACTGTTTTATAAATGAACTCAATCATATACAGATTATTAATGACTTGTCTAAGAACTGCGAGCAATTAAACTCATGATTTTACTTTCTTATAGCTTTAATGAGTCAAAACTTACATTATATAACTGGGTGTGTAATTATACATTACTTTGTGTGTTTTCTCATATTATTTTATCATTATACACAATAAAAAAACTTTAAATGCACATTGTTTCTCTCTGACTCTGTCTCCAATCTGCTCTCATTTATTCAGTACAGTTTAAAAATACTGCCACTTATTATCATAGTTTTACAAGGATTCAAGGTTGTGTAATTGTCTTTTTAACCCTGTTATTTTGTATAATAACATTCAGGTGGTACTCGTACTTATAATCATGAAACTACTCTGATACCACTTTACAGCAGCGTGACCTTACATAACCTCTTGTTAGAGGTGAATATCAGCAGGAGATACTTAAAACAACTTTTACAACATTTAATTAGTCATAAAGTGAGGAACCTCTGATGAAAATAGAATGTTTTCATGGTCATTGTTAGAACTGTAATATTGTCATTGAGTACTCATATAAGTACTTTTTGTACTCTAGAGCATGTAGTCCACTAATCAGAAGGTTGTTGGTTCGATCCCCCCCTCTCCCACTGCTCATTGAAGTATCCTTGAGCGAGATACTGAACCCCAAAATGCTCCCGATGCTGCGTCATCTGTGAGTGAGTGTGAATGAATGAGTTAGTTTCTGTTCCATGGACTTTGAATGTGTTGGAAAGGGCAAAGGTGGCATGTAGTGTAAAAAAGTGCTTTGTGTGGTTGGAAGACTAGAGAAATACTAGAGAAATACAGGTTAATTAACCATGCTATTGGCAAATACTCAAACATAAGTACTTAAAATGCCATCTGTACAACCTTACAAAAAACACTAAAAGTCATTACAAGCGGAATAACCTGACAGGGCCTGATTTGGATCTGGAAAGTCGTGGTTGGAAAAGGGCAGGAACTCAAAAATACTCTGCAGATTGATTGCATGAACCATCTGCCTATCACTGTCTATTTTGGTCAAACTTTAACCAATCAGATCATTGAACCGTATAACGTAGTTAAACTCATAATGAAGCCAGTTGGGAGAAGAAAGAAAACACAAACAACTTCCAGTACCATTCTTTGCTCTTCTTTCAATGAAGGATTACTCTCCTGTTCTGATGTTTCAGTTCTAATGTTGATATCTTTAGAAGTTGTTTTAGAACCAATGTTGAGGTTAAACCACCACCATAACTAACATAATATAATGACAGCTTCCCTGTTACAAAAGCTCTTTCTCTATCTGTAGCATTATAGCTGCATTTGGCAAGAAAACCTCTCTGTACACATCTTTAATGTTTCTTGCTTGTAGGTAGCACCACCTTGAGGTTAAAAGCTCCAAGTGTAGGTTTGAAGGATAACTCACTCACTTATTTTCTTTTTTTTCTGTATTTTTTGGGGCCTTTTGCCTTTATTGATAGGACAGCTTAAGATAGACAGGAAATGTCTGGGCAGGGATGACTCGACTGTGCTGGACCGGACCATCATGCATGGTGGAAGCGCTCTCTCCAGGCTCCAGAACTTTGAATCTGGATCATTATCCTCAGGAGTTTTCAGCCTCCCTTATTCCATCCTCTCTCCCTAGTTTGTGTGTGCTCTGTGTCTGTCTATCAGTGTAAATGCTGTGCCGTCTCTTCTTTCCTAATAATTAGTCTATAATAGCCCTGATCTAGCAACAAATTTCATGCCATGCATCCTAAAGTTATTGAGATATTATAATCTGGACCAACATGGTGGACCGACACTGCAATCCATAAAGTCTGTTAACAATATATCAATTAATATTCTTCTTTTAACACATGAGATTAACACACTTTAAATTAGGATCTCTTTAATTTGGTTATTTAAGAATAGCAGCCATGTATGGAGACATTTTACAGTGTAATAATCAACCTATCAGTGCCCTCTGGTGGACAAACTCTGTGATTACACACTGTTCTATAAATGAACTCATATACAGAATATTAATCTCTCTTTTCTAAGGGATGACTGCAATTAAAAATACATATATAGTTTCCTGTAGCTTTGATTAAAAAAAAGAAAAGTAAAAACTCGTGTTTTTCCTCACGTTTTTATCATCGTACACAATAAAAAAACCTTTAAAGACAAATATTTTCTGTGTGACTCACTGAAAGCTGTAGTTCTGTAGATTTAGTTAGTACAGTTTAAAAGTTATCATTATCACAGTGTTACGGGGATTCAGTCAGAATCAGAGGGAGGTTTATTGACAACAAGGTTTTCACATAAATAATAAATAAAGGAATTTTCCTGTAATATTAGTGCAGAACAATGAAACAAGTAAAATAGAAATAAAGATAAAAACAAGGACAGAAATTGATAATATATGAAAAAGACATTAATAGACAATATGAGTTTTATTTCAGATGGAAGCTGAACAGTTTGTGCAGGAAAATGCAAAAGTATAAAGAATATTTGTAATGTGCAAATCAAATATTTTTTGATGTAATACATGTAAACTGTTTAAGGCTTTACAGTGTGTGGTAAACAAGGCACATTATTCCTCCTGCTCTGGGACTGAAGTAATATCACTCTTGTTTTTCAGTGTTAATTTCCCAATACGTCCTGGAGCGTGCCTGCTGGGCCAAAGATTAAACCACAATGTGGGAGTCACTGTTAACATCGGGCTGCTTATCCACTAAAAGATGAATTCTTTTAAAGTGGATGGAGCGTAAACCTGGTTGCTTCTCTGAGGACTTGTGGCCGGAGGAAGATCTGGACCTGCCGAACATGGAGTGGGCAGCCTGCCTGTTAAAGGACTCTGACAAGGGACTGGAGGTCCACCGAGAGCAGATCTGTATATTATAACTGTTATCTGTTCTTGTGGCTCAGGACTGGTTCTCTCGCTCTACCTTCTTCTACTCCCTGATCTTGAGATTGTATCTGCACATACAGAAGCACACGTTGTAGTCCCTTCAGTTTTCTTGTTTGTGTATTCATTGTTTGGTCCGCTGTAGTCGGTTCCTGTCCTGTTTGGTGGTGATATTTTCTGCTCTGAGGTTAATGATATTGTGCTCTCACACTTCAGTGCTGATGGCAAGAATATCAGTCTTGAGTCAGCCTCAATCACAAATCAAACATCAGTAGCAGTTTAATCCATGATAATGAAGATATATAATATATAAACATACACGTTGCAGTCCAAATTCAACCTGTGAATGCTGCACGGCCTTGCTGTTACGTCTAATCAACAATCTTTGTAGTTTCCTGAACAAAATGTTGAGTCATACGTCATCAAACTCACTTCCTGGTTTCTAGTGTTGATGATGCAGACAAACGTCTCACACTGACCCTCCAAACAGTCGATTTTAATTCATTCATTATTTCACTTTCTCCTGTAATTTCATTGCAAGCTAATGTCTAAAAACATTACATCATATCTTATTGAGAGGAGCCCAGGTCCTCCTGTAGTTTGCACTCTGGGCAACGTCCACTGTTGTTCCAGAGTTTTGGGCGTGTTAAGCTCCAGAGGGTCCACTGGTCGCACTGGGCCTGGTTGGAGATGTGAAAGAGTTTGTTCGTCAGTATTTGACGAGTTTATCACTAAAAATGAGTAATCTTCTATTTTCTGTCTCTTTGCTGTCATTCATTTTGTTTTCTCTGTTTTTCACATTTTTTCACCCCCTCTCTTTCTGTTATCTCTTTTCTTCTTTTATCTCTTTCCTCTCTGACTTCCTGTATCACAACCGCCAACCGCTCTTCCTCTTTTCTCATTTCTTCTCTCACTCCCCATTATCAGACACACAGCAGTATGAAGGCTCCCAGTGTCATTAGCAGATGAATTAAAGTATTTCAGTAGTGAGTCTACAGTGAATTGTTTTCCATCGCGGCGCCGAATCACCATGGAAACTAATGAAACAACTTCACAGGGAGCCGCTGGAGTCAACAGTGCCGCGGCTGCTCTGCTTCAGACGTCTAATTCATTCAGTCATTCTGCTCTTTATTGCTCATGAGGGAAATTTGGTTTGCAGAAGCACACACTGACACAACTTACAGAGTATCATATAGGTGGACAATAAGAGCAGACAGGGAGTGGAGGGCAATAAAAAGAGACAATAGTATTTACAGAGACACAAGAGGATGAACTCATGGGCAAGGGAAGCAGAGTGATTGCAGCTGGGAGAAACAAGTCCCTGCTTCTTTTACTGAACAAACTGCAGCTTTTCAATCTTCACAGAGGAAGATTAAATCTGAGTTTGAGTTTATTTAACAGTGTGAGGATAGAGCTTTGTGTATGAGCTCTGACCTCTATTTACTGAAAGGCAGTGCTGTACACTGTAGACCACCACACTATATAATGTGAACAGAGCTAAAACCTGCATTCTTTCTGATAGCCAGCAGGGGGCAGCGCCACTCTGGATTTCTGAGCTCAGTAAACAGTTCCCTGATGAGTTTCTGGTCTCAGTCTCTAGTTTCAGTCTTCTTCCATACAGCATGATGTTCATTTAGTAACTGATGGTCCCATTTAGAGTAAAACAGACCATAAAGCAGGGTATGCTTTAGGGCGGGGCTACCTTGTGATTGACAGCTCATTCTCAGTGAGTCCGTCCAGCTCAACGCACCAAACTCAGATCAAACTGTCAAACAGTGCTGATCAGATATGGATCCAGATTCTGTTGTTGACTGTTTCTCTCCTCAGATCTGTTCACAAACACATTTGACTGTTTATCTGGAACACCAGATCCTGTGTGAGCAGGAGAGCCACCATTGTTTCCAAACCGAGAGCAGCCAATGAGAGCAGCCAATGAGAGCAGGTCTTGATACGACGTGTGCTCTACCAGGACGCCACCTAACCCCGTAGTTCTTGTGTCTAATCATAACCAAACTGTGACCCTTTCACAACGTTAACTCACGCAAGGAAAGGATTTTTTGTTTAGGCAATTATTTCATGACTTTTTAAAATAATTTATCTCCTGAACTTCCCTCCGGGGATTAATAAAGGTTTATCTGTCTCCCCTCGGAAAAAATACTGAGGTCCATACAGAGGTGGCGGTACTCAATAAGAAGTAAGGGTACTCTTGTGGACAACAATCAATAGAGTACATTGTACTATAGTATATGTGCTGTACTAGTTCATAATAAAAACACAAATAAATAAACCATGTGTACATAAATGTGATGCTCGAGGTTCCTTACATATTCTCACTGTGCCATCCCGACCTGTCATCTTGTTGTGTAATCCTTCCTGTTGTGTCACTTTGATGACAAAAAACCCAATATGAGGGTTAAAGTGGTAACGTATCATTTTAATTTCATGGCTGTGTAAAGAGGGAGCGGCTGCAGGAGGAACAGCAAACAGGCCTGAACACTAACAGCAGTTTGTTCAGCAATAGGCCTCCACAAATGGTGCCTCACAGCTTTGAATGAAACCCTAAAAGGTCCCCTACAGTGTGATTATCTTCTCATCTAATTTTATTTCTATGGTGGCTGCTAATAACGCTAGCAGGTTAGCCTTCCTCCCGGAGTCCCAGTAGGACTGTATCCTGCTGCTGCTCATCTGACAGCTGCAGAGAAAAAGACGAGGAAAATCAGTTTATACAGCCCCACTGTGAAACACACACACACACACACACACAGAAAATCAAATAATGAAAATAAATACACAGATACACAATGTTAAAGCCTGTGGCGTGCAGTCTAACGGGGACCCATAACCTTGGATGAGAGGGGAATAGAAAGTGTATGTGTGTGCGAAATAGTGTGTGTGTGTGTGTGTGTGTGTGTGTGTGTGTGTGTGTGTGTGTGTGTGTGTGTGTGTGTGTGTGTGTGTGTGGTAATGAGAGAGTGGGTGGGTGCAGAAAAGGAAGTGGCGGAGAAGAAGGTAGAAGTGAAGACAAAACGACAGAAAGCAACAGATGAGAGAAAAGGAAGACGACAAGAGCGTTGAGGACTAAAAAAGAAGAGAAGGAGGAGGAAAAAGACGGGAGCGACACCAACAACAAAAGGTGAGAAAGAGGAGAAACTTGGTCACCTGAAAGAGAACTTTGACTGCACAGGAAGATGGATGTAAATCATTGTGGTGTTTAGAAATCTGACGACCTCTTAAAATAGAAAAAGTTGATCACCAGCATCACTTTGTGATTGTGGCAATGATATTGTTAATATCCACAGATGGAAGAAGTATTTAGGTATTTACTCAAGAAGGTAAAACTTTTTTAATACAGTACAACTTCTGAAGTACATATGAGGGATAATAGAACACTTCCTGTGTACTTCAGACAAATATTAAAGTACAAGACGGGGCAACAACTTTGTGTGTATAGACTTAAATAAAGTACTTTTTAAATAAAAAGATGGAGACATGAGGTAAGTGTTGATTTTGGTACGACATCTATTACAGTATAATGAATTGGAAATTAGAATTAAGATAAAGATTAAGTGATTAAAGGGCAACTTCTGTGTTTTTCAACCTGTTTTTGAGTAACAGAGATAAAATGTGGTCCAGTGTTTAATGCGAGCGCTGCAGCCGCCAAACCATCTCCAAAGTAATCCTGTGAGGTAACTGTGCACCGCCAAAGTACGTCCATGTAAGGGCGGAACCAGGGTACAGACATCGGGGATTCCTAATGAGACATTTTTTAAGTGAATTTTCCACAATTGTATGATATTTATGAAAAATCACAAATTCAGAACATAGTTTTATGACTTTACTAACATTCAAAGCAACAGTCTATGATAGAGGCTACCCCTCCCTTTTGGTTGCTTACAGTTTACTGACTTTAAATGCTGCTACCAATTAGATCTATACGTGCAAATCAGTAGTAGTGAATAGAATAGCCTTCAAAAGTCTCCTCCAAATCAGCTACATATTCAGCCATGACACTGAAAATCTTTTATAGAACTTCACTTTCTGCCCTCAGACACAACAAACTCGACATTACTGCACTCGCAGTTGAACTGCTGACATCCAGCAACAAGTCCCCTCACCTCTGCCGAGATTTCACGACGAGACTTCTCCTTGAGCGAGACTTGGTTAGACATGCAGCAGATCAAACAAAAATAACAGCAAATGAACACTTTTAATCGATGTACTTCGACGGTGGGCAATGCGTTACAGTGCGTACGTTTACGGAACTTTTAAGACGAAAGAAGTTTCCCTTTAAAGCTCCAGTGGGTAACATCAGTGTAATATAATAATCATAGGTTTGTTTTTATTAACGTATAATCTCCTGAAAATAAGAATCGTTGTTTTTGTTACCTTAAAATGAGACGTTTTTATCTATAGAGGGAGAGGGTCCTCTTCTGGACTCTGCTATGTTTCTACAGTAGCCCAGAACGGACAAACCAAACACTGGATCTAGATAGGGCCTTGTGCATGTTTTGCAAGTTTCATGTCCACCGTAGATTCTCCTTCTCACTTCACAACCCGTTCTCATTCTCAGGTCATCAAATACAGAGGCGAGCAGTGCTCAGTTAGTTGCAATCTGCAACTTCGGCACTAGATGTAGTGAGGTTAAGTTACGTGAGGTACATAACTTGCAATCTTTTCCTGAACGTCTGTAGCATGAGTCCGCTGCTGAGAAAAAGGCCTAACCCTAACCCTGTATATTTTTTATGTGTTCTTGCACCTCTAAAACTTAGAAGGCCATGCGACCCTCTTTGAAGTCTTTGGCGACTCTTACAGGGGGTCACGACCCACAGGTTGGGAATATAATTCACTCCTGACCCTCCCAACTCAGAGTAGCAGAAGCTCAGCTGTGATTGGACAGTTGCTGTCTGGGAGGAGGGGCTCAGCAAACAGCCACCTCCTCTACCTGTAGGGGGCGCTGCCAGGACTGCCACAGTTCGGTTAAAAGTCAAAAGGACTTAACTTTCCACTGTAGACTGATGAGTGAACAACAATATGGAGGTGTAAGGTTGAGTCACTGTTTGCTCATATAAAGGTGATTTTTCCGTTGTGGTGAACTGTCAGGTTGTAATCGTTGTTGAGTGGATGTGTGGAAGATAAGAGCAGCAGCGTTTCTGTGCTGCTGCTGTTACCGGTGTGTTGTATGATTTGACATGAATGATTCATGAGCAGCTGTTGTTGGTGTGTTAATAATCAACGCCTGGAGCATCTCTCTTCCTCTCGTCCATATCTATCTCTTCATTCGCTCGCTGACTCATTCTCTCTCTGTTTTCTCTCTCTCTCTCTACCCTCAGGTCTCTCTGCCTGTCTCTCTCTCTCCCAACACCTTGAATCAGGGTAATAACGGCCAGAAAAACAGGACATGTCTATTCCTGCTGCCTCGACTCTTCTCCTTCACCTCACATTCTGACTTTCTCTCCTTCACTATCACTTTCTCTCTCACTCCCTTTTTCTCTCCATTCACTTGTTTCTTCTTGCCCCTGGTTTGTCATCGATTTCATGTGAAGAGGGCGAGAAATAGACAGAAGGAACAGAAATCTTTCTGCTCTCTCACTGCTTATTTAATTAGTTACGTGGGTTAGTTCAGTCGGTCAGGTAGTTAGTTAGTTATTGTGACGTGAGAGCAGCTCTGGGGTCAGGACAGTCAGTTATGAGGTTGTTATGAGGTTGTTGTAGGTGACTTGGAGGATTCACATCTTAGTGGGCTGAATTACACAAAAACAGATCATCATGGCTGTCTAATAACCGGGTAAGCCTGAACAATACATATACTACTCACACTCACTGACAGCTGATCTCTTAAAAACCTCTCGTTACCGATCTGAAAATGTGGTTCTTCCAAGAGTTGTTGTGCTTTAGTCCAGAGTCATTCTTCTTAGTTTGAAATATGAAAAAGCAAAGATAATGATTGATACTGTTGTTTGAATGTGTTCAGAAGTGGTTAATATATGGGAGTAAAGTTCTTAGAGGCTGCAATGTTTGTTACAACCTGAATATGAAAGTACTGGACAGAATAAAACAGCACGATAATTTAACTGTTCTTAGAGTCAGTGTTTCCCAACCTGGGGGTCGGGACCAGATCTGGTCACCACAGCGTCACAGGGGGTCGCGAGGCCTTCTCACTGTTTGGGTTCGTTATACTGTTTATCAGCTGTTCTCTACTGTTATTATTGAATATAATATTAAATATTCATAAAATATGATTAAAAAAAAGTTTGTCCTGAGGGTGACGCTGTAAAGAGTTATCCTCTGGGGAGCAGGAATAAGAGCAATTCGACATTTAGATTTTACTTGTGTAAAAGTAGAATTTTTGTCCTGAAGGAAAACAAAGGGGGTTACTAAATCTGACACAATATTTTACCATGGGATGCTAGCAAGTGTGAACCTACCACCCACGGGTTTGTGGAGTATCATTTTAAAGCCTTGAGTTCGGCATTGTGGTCGTCGCCATGTTGGTTTTCTGCAACCAACAGCAGTGGCGGTTGCCTGCTCACACACAATGTGGTATTCCAGATAAACAGTAAAATAGGTCTCTGAACAGATTTTAGGTGAGAAATAGTCAACACAGTACCAGAATCTTTATTCATATAGTCAGGATTCAGTGGTATTGAGGGATGAAACTGTAAACTGCGTGTAGGAGAAACTACGGCGCAAAACACAAAACAAAAATTGAAAGTCCGTCTGGATCCTGTGTTTGGTTTGTCCGCTCTGGGCTACTGTGCAAAATATAATCTAACCCTAACCCTAACCCTTTTCTTCAATAATATGAAATGTGATGTGTGGCACAAATAATTTATTAAATTATAAATCAGCTCACATTTTATTAAAACATTTGTTCCATATACAGATTGTTTTTTTATGTTATTTTACTTTCTTATTAGTAAATTACCAAAGAGCTGCTGCTGATGACGACCCCCATTATCCTTACCTCTGACACTCCGCACTGTCTTTCAGAGACTGTAGTAAGCTGTTAAAAGGTAAAGGAGGGATATATCTTATGAAAATAGAAGACCTAACGCCATCCATTGGTATCAATCCTGTCATGCTAGCATGTTGGGAAGGAGCCTAAATAACACTGCAAAGTTAGGCAAACTGTTTGCAATGGAAAAACTGTCATGGCCATTTTCAAATGGATCCCTTGACGTCTGACCTCAAGTTATTTTAATGAAAATGGTCTCTATGGAACCTACAAGTCTCCTCTTTACACTTTATGCTAATCCCATGCAGTTTTTTGTATGTGGAATAAATGTGTGTGAATATTTCTGCATACTGTCCGTAAGACACAAACTTTATTCCCCCCTCCCCCCGCTTAAGTCAGAGCCCCACTTACAATAATATATTATATAAAAAAAACAGTTATGAGTGAGACTGGTGGTTGGTTATAACCCACAAAGCTTTCTTGGTAAAATGGGCAATATTTGGAAACTTAATGTAGACGTGAAGAGAGAAAACAAGAACAGACAAGATCACAGAGTCATACCTGAAAGTGTCGAATCCAGTAACAACTTCTCCAACTCAGTCAATAACAAAACAATTCATATTTCAGTGTATTGACTCCTGTGTGTGTGTGTGTGTGTGTGTGTGTGTGCGTGTGTGTGTGCGTTTGTGTGTGTTGTGACTTGAGTCAGTGTGGGTGTGCTGACTTCCTGCTGTGAGGAAACTCTCTTCCGATGGAGACACACTGAAACGTTTCAGATCCGAACTGATGTGGAAACACTCTGAATCACACACACAGACACGCACACACACACACACACACACACACACACACACACACACACACACACTTGTTGTTTTTTATCTCTGTGTCGGGGTTCAGGCAGGTGTTCAGGATTGCGTGCGTCCTTTTTGTCTGCGATGTTGCTGATGACCGATCTGTGGAGGATGACAGGAGCTTCGCCTCGTCATCAATAATTTACTCGTCATTTTTAAACTTCCTTAATTGAGGCATCGAGAACGACCTCATACGGCTGTAGGAACCATCAGGAGTGACACGTGGAGCCTGTGAGCTTAACGCCTAGATTTGTATGGAAGCTCGTTAATGACAAAAGCATCAAGTGAGTGCAGACAGAGAGGCGTTTGTGTAATCTGAAAGACTAGAGAGACTGAGAAAGGACAGAATGGTGAGTACAATGTTTTTGCTCTAAGAGAACTGACCGGGACAATAAAACCTGAGACCGAAGCCGACAGTAAACGTGAGGGTGTCCTTTACTTAAACGTACTACTCAGAGTTTTAACTGATTATAAACAGTCTCAGTTTAATACTGAAACCTCTGTATGAGCTACAGAAACAAACCTCAGAGAGAAGATTGGATATTTATTAATATCTGCCACCGGGTCAGATTCCCCTCAAAGTCAATAAAACGAGGCTGTGGAAACGCAATCGCTTTTGTCCACAGGGGCAGCCAGAATCTGACCTGACTGCAGTGGATGGTTTGATACACAGAACCATCTGGGAGGTAATTTTTGGGATGACAGACTTTTCGATTAACCATCTGTCTGTCATCGTCTATCACGAACGAAGTTCATCCGATCAGTAATGAGTCATATTTCATATGTTGCCAAACTTTTCGGGAGAAGAGAGATAACGTACTACTCTCCAGTTCTGATATAACTGATGCCAGCAGCATCTTCACTAACCTCTTTAGCAGCCGCCATTGTTGTTTTTGAGCAAACGGTTACACACACCTATTGTTAAACCACAGCTGTAGCTCACACAGTAGCTGCCAGTAGTTCCTGACGTTCATTGGTTTTAATCACTGTGGTTGGACACAAGAACGCAGTGGAAACCTGGCGACATGGATTCTCCTGCGACCTTGTGATGTTGTGACATTGCGAGTCCAGGTTACTAATAGTGGGGCAACTAAGTTGAAATATTCATAACAATTGTGCATTTTCCGAAATGTTTTAAATATTCCTGAATGCTGCAGAAAATGCTAGATGCATGTAAATGCTAGAATAACTATGACTATATAGTCGGGATATCAAAGGTTAGATGTTCCTTGTAGCAGCTTTAGGTAAAAGTACTAATGCCACTGTAACTATTACTTAAGTAAAAGTATTATTAACTATTCTTGTTTATCTGTAAGTAACTATACTTGCTGTTAGTCAACAAGGAATCAAACTTTACGTGCAAACAGGAAAAGACACAACGTGTGCACAAACAGCAGCAGCTCAAACTACGTCTTTAAAATGTAAACTTTTTATTTTTGTTTTTTTGAGATGCTCCTTCATTTGTCTCACGCAGTTTATTTTTAGGGGGTTTTTTTGCAGAAGAAAATACCGCCTCCATTTCCTTTCTGCATTGCATTGTGGGACAATCAACAGCACACTTAAAAAACAGGGTTTTATTAGTATGCATACTTAAATATACTTTAGTTTTTTCAAATGTCCAGTGTGACAACAGACTTAAAACTGTGCTGAATTCAGACACTCAAATACTGTAAAATGTATTATTGTACCTTTACAGTAAATTCACAGCAGAATTCAGTAATTAAGGTTCAGTAATATATAGATGAACTCACAAGTCACAATAACTAGTGTAAAACCACAGTATTTTGAAGTAAAATTACAATAAATTGTAATAAATCATCTGTAGTTACTGTAAATTCACAAAAATGTGCAGTCATATTACAGTAATGTATTGTGTTGTCATGGTAACCAATACACAACAGTACTGTAAAACTACTACAGAAAGACAATATAATACTCACAGGTATGTTTTCATTAGTATATAATCATCTGGAAATAAGAATCATTGTGGTTTTGTTACCTTAGAATGAGACGTTTTATCTACAGAGGCCGAGAGTCGTTCTTCAAAGCAAATATAGGAAAAGGCAGTTGTTTCATCTCAGTTGGGGATTTTCTCTTTAATAGAGAGTTTTCTTAGTGGTTCAAAAAGCTGCAGCTCAACAAGCTTCAGTGTTGGTATCATTTCACTGCATCACTGATATGTTTGATTAATTATTAACACTATATTGAGACTAGCTTTTATTACATTTTCTGAGTTGGAACCACACTTCCCTTTTTCTGCCCTCCTGCGTTCATTCTCTGCATCCCAGATGGCCTGAGCCCTCGCTGACTCTCTATTCCCATGAACTATCAATTAATTGAATTTACCTTGATTAGGTGAGCCGAGCAAATAGACTCTCAGTTCATATCATCAGATTTCTCTTAAATTCTGGAATTGACTCTCAGCTGATGACTCTGATGTCTTCAGTTCGGTTTGTTATGGATGCTGAGTCAAAACAGTGAGAAAGTTTCTCATTAGTTAGTAGTTAGTTTGTTGAGAAGTAGCACCCTCAAACAAAAACCTCTGTCAGGTTCGATGCAGTGTGTGTCGGACTGATGTGAGGCTGTATACTGACATTAACAGTCCTCTCTCTCTCTTACAGGATGGTGTTGTGATGAACAGCTAAGACGTTAACACACACACACACACACAATGAGTACCAGTACACCAGCAGTGTGCCCGGCCTCCCCTCCCTCTGAGGACCCGACCACGCCCCCGCCCATGACCACACCTCCTCGCAAAGCTTCGGTCCGCCTGCAGGAGAGGTGGATGTTAATCACACACACAGAAAATCTCTCTCACACACTGCAAAAACAGCAGTGCCAAATGTTCTTAAATATAAATTCATTCTTCTTATATCTGCCAATTTGTGTTGCAATTAATGAAAACTCAGTTATTTAACATTGTTAAAATAAGTATCCAGTATAAGCTCCACAAACATTTTTATTTTTGTAAATTTTTATTAAAACAATGACAAACTAAACCAGACGACTCTTAAATTGAGAAGTTGTGTGCGTGCTCTTACTCTGAAAATAAGGACAATAATCTGGTTCCTCTGCTGGGATATTATGCAACCATTGTTGTTGCTGGAAATCGAGCTCAATATTAGCTGTGATATCTTATTAAGACAAAGTTAATTATTATAATATTATTGTCATTTTTCTTTTCTCCTAGAAACAACATGTTTTCACTCTTGAGATTCCTTTTTTTTGCACTCATCACTCTGTTTCTTCTTTTGTAGGCGGGGCTCCAACCTGTCTCTGCTATTGGATGTGACCAACCTGGGGGTGGAGCCTGTTTGCTCTGTCTCCACCCCAAAGGAGGTGTGGCTTCAGCTGCTGCACACCTCCTCCCGACCGCTCACACACCCTGCGCTGCAGCAGGCCGCCATGGACACAAGCACACTGAATGTAGAGTACCAGGTAACGCAGCGTCGGCTTGATTCATCGCACAGAGCAGCTTCCTGTGTGAGGGCATTGAGGTGTGTTTGTTTTAACATCCAGCCCGTCCCTGTCTCCTCCTCCACAGAAGATCCCTCCGAACTTTGTGAGCGCCGCAGAGCTTGATGTTCCAGGACACATGATGAAAGACAGATATAAAACCATCCTACCCAGTCAGTAAATGTCCTGCTGCACTCTCAGTCAAAAGACATCGTTTTCACTCTTTAATTAACCTCTCGTTAACCATTTGTTGTTAACTATTTAGACCCTGAGACCCGGGTGATCCTGAGGAGCCCAGAGGAAGAGGCGGGGCCAGACCGCTACATCAACGCCAACTACATCAGGGTCTGAGTCTGACATTATTTTTTATTAAGTCAAATCACCCTGCAGCTTTCTGCAGAGGTGATTCTGGTGATGGATTTTAATATTGGATGTCTGTATGTGGAGCTGATTGTTTGTCTCAGTATGAATGAGTATCTACTGAAGATGTATTTTCGTTGACCAGCCTGCGATTTTTCTCCCCTTCATGTTAAATTAGCAGATTTTCAAAGGGAGTTCTGCATTGCGGTTTTCTTTATTTGTAGAAAACATATTTTGTTTAATAATATTTCTACAGCAAGCATTTATACTTACAAAACATTCATCACCACACCATGAATACTAATACTGGCCAAAACATCCCACCCATATGTCATACCTCAGATGGTCCAGCTCCCTTTACTTGATTTTACATATTAGACTTCACTTCCCCTCTAGTTTAGATTCATTTAAAAATGAAGAAAATACACTTGCTCTCTTTCTCTTCTTTCTCACATGTCTGTGTGTTCAGTACAGAGCTGGAGAGTCAGGACGTGGTTAGCCTAGCTTAGCATAAAGACTGGAAGCAGGAGGAAACAGCTAGCCCAATAAGTCCAATGATTAACAGGTTATATCTCTCTTTATTCTGCCCACAAACAAAAATATAAACCTCAGTTTGTCTGGTGAGAGGGGCAGGTAGAGTCGGGTGTCATCAACCCAGAAGTGTCTGAAATGGGCCAGTTCTCCTCGGTGAGACAGTTGGGTTGACAGCCAGAAGGCATGGAGCTCTGTACTGAGTTAGGGTTGGGTTAGTGCACTGGCACCTTTTTTGGTCCAATTCAGGCACTGGACCCTGTGAGGTACATTGACAAGAGAAGGGGACCAAGCACAGATCCTTGTGGTACCCCAGCAGAAAGAAAGTCCCACCAGCCCGTTATCCTCACACCAAAGGAGTGCTGTTCAGACAGGAGGGACAAGAGGATTTGGATGTTTCAGCAGAAAGTTGTGCAACACAGCTGCATGCGTTGTTATAAAAATGTCTAAATGCAACCTGAAATAAATAATTCCCTCCTCACTTACGGGAGCTCATTAGGTCAATCAGTGTCATTATCTCTTTTAGTCTGAACTGTATTATTTTATTAATTAAATTAAATCAGTTAAGTGACAGTTTCCTTCAGTGTTGCTGATAGCGGGTAGTGTGTGACAGCGCTGTCACTCAGCGTGGGCGTCTTCTCGTTTGTGTGTGTGTGTGTGTGTGTGTGTGTGTGTGTGCGTGTGTGTGTAGATGTGTGTGTGTGTGTGTGTGTGTGTGTGTGTGTGTGTGTGTGTGTGTGTGTGTGTGTGTGTGTGTAGATGTGTGTGTGCGCGTGCGTGTGTTTGTGTGTGTTTTCGGACAGCTAAACAAACAGAAACTCAGATATGAGCCGTCGGTTTGTCAGCGTGGGAGTATGACAACCAGGAAAACCACAGGAAGTGAGTGAGGAAGTGACATGTCCCTGAGTCACCAACCCCATCCCCCCATTCCTCGGCCCACGCATCCCTCACACTCTGCAGCCTCAGCTCTGTGTGTGTCTGTGTGTCTGTCAGTGTGTGTCTGTGTGTCTGTCAGTGTGTGGTGTGTGTGTGTGTGTGTGTGTGTGTTGGTCTGCAGACACCTGCTGCTCCTCCTGATGTGTTTTGACAGTTAGTTTAATATAATAAGAAGCTACACACACATAATCATTTATTTATACTCTTATTCTTTATTTATACTATAAAAACACAACCTGCTGATTGGACGTTAGGCGGTTGTTATTGATGAGCAGCCTTGATTCACTTCCTGTCTTATGAGGTCAGGGATGTTGGGTGGTTTCAGCAGGGGGGGGGGGGTTCTTGCTTTTACTTTGATGTCAGCCTTGCAAATAATAAAACATATGGATGTGAACAGTTATCATACTGTGTGCAAGTCTAAATCACATACTACAAATGCATCAGTACAAAACACCAATAGATGATTAAATACACAATATATTATTATTAGTATTAAACATACTAAAAACATAATGGCCCTTTGTCATTATGCATCAACTTTGCAAAAAATCCAATTGGGCAGTTTTACTGATTGCAGAATAAAACTGTATTTAGATCTTTAAACGTGTAATATGTAATGTCTGCCACTAGGGGGACTTTCACATCACAACACTAACAAAAGATGAAGTTTGATGAAATATTTTAGAACTGAGTGATAAATTAGTCCTCAAAAATCAATCTGTTTTCATTTCAACAGTTCATTAAGTGCACATTAAACAATCGCGATTAATGATGACATGATGATTAATTAATGATTTCATGGCCTCCACTGCAGCTGAGGGTCTGACCTCCTCTCTGCTCCTGCTGCAGGGCTACAAAGGAGCACCCAGGGCCTACATCGCCACCCAGGGGCCGATGGTGCACACCGTGGGGGACTTCTGGGACATGGTGTGGCAGGAGAGGAGCAGCATCATCGTCATGGTTACCAGACTCAAGGAGAACAACGAGGTGAGGAGACACGACACCTCCTCTCTCCTTCCTCCTCTCTCCTTCCTCCTCTCTTTTTTTTCTTCACCTTCTTGAACTTGTCCTCAAGGTGTCTGCGGTGTTTGTTTGTCCCAGAAATGCGAGTTGTACTGGCCACAGCCGAGGGAGAGGAGGAGGAGGAGGGTGAAGGAGGAGGAGGAGGAAGACGTTAAAGAGAAGAAGAAGGAGGGAGAGGAGAAGGAGGAAGGAGAGACAGGCCGATTTGGCAGATTCCTCCTCAGAGTGAGAGACAGCCAAGAGAAAGACGGGTTCACTGTAACTGACATGGAGATCCAGGTACAGTAAACATTTACTCGAGTACAGTTTTGATGTTACTAAAGTACAATATATACTCCGTACCTGATGACATACGTTACCTCAAAGGAACTGTTTACTTTTGGTCTCACACGGGACACCAACATAGTTCTGACCAAGTGAGTGAGACCAGGGTGCAAACACCTGATACACACGTATACTGAGGTCTAAACACCTGATACACAGGTATACTGGGGTCTAAGCACCTGATACACAGGTATACTGGGGTCTAAACACCTGATACACAGGTATACTGGGGTCTAAACACCTGATACACAGGTATACTGAGGTCTAAACACCTGATACACAGGTATACTGGGGTCTAAACACCTGATACACAGGTATACTGGGGTCTAAACACCTGATACACAGGTATACTGGGGTCTAAACACATACATTGAACCACTGACTCTCCACTGCATCTCACCTGGAGAAGGTGAATAAAGAGAAGCTGCTGTTTGGTTGTCTATTGATGGAATATTGATCAGTTATTTGTGTGCAGCTGTGTGAGGAGCACCGTCCCGTCAGACACTACTGGTTCACCTCTTGGCCTGACCATCACATCCCACAATGCACCGCTCCGCTGCTGAGACTGGTGGAGGAGGTGGAGACCTACAGCAAGTCCCTCCTACCGCCGAGCTCTGAGCCAATCACAGCCCCTGCCCTCTCTCCTGGGCCAATCATCGTCCACTGCAGGTTGGTTCCTGTACTGACTTCATGTTATTATTATTTATTACTTTTATTTAGTCTCGTAACAGGAAGTAACTTGGCGGACACGAGGAAGGACGAACTGACAAACAACCGAGGAAGAAGTAGAGCTGTGTCGGGTGGTTTGGAGGATAAAATTATTATTTTAGTTTCTGTTATGTTTGTTTTTTTGCCTCATTGATCACATAGAAAACACAAAAAAGGTCTTAGAATTGTGTAAATTGATGGAGAAAACTTGCAAGTATTGATAAAGGCAAAGTTTGATTTACCAAATAGTACAAGAAAAAAACTGCAAACTAAGATGAATAAGTGAAAAAAACAAAAATCTTGCAAAACAGTCAAATATATTTTTCTGAATGGGTCATACTTTTACTAGAAAATCTAAGTAAAAAAAAAATATATATATATACATATATATATATTACAAAACAAAACTTTGACTAACAGACAGGCAAAATGTTCAGATTCTGCTCTTGAAGTCATAAGTTATATGTTTCCCTTTATAATGGCCCTGAAACACCACCGTCAAATAGAAGAACAGAAGAAAAGAATATAATATTACATAGCACAATAGGATGAACTGGTATAAACCTATAAAAAGTTTCACATTTGGTTTCTTTTATAATGTGTGTGTGTGTAACACCAGTAGATTACGGTCTGGGTTACTGAACAGTAAAACCAGCTCATGAGGAATCAAACCCGAGCGGCGGATGTGTCAAGGGCTCCTTCCTGTTTCACAGCGTGGCCGGTCGTACCTGAGCAACCAACCACAGCAGAGAGGACAGATGAAAGAGTGCAGGCTGCGGTGTGGATCTGACCGACGGTGCAAAGAAACACAGAGAAATTTGTTTCTTGAAGTACAACCAGAAAGAGGAAGTGGATTAAATGACAAGGCTCAGTAGTCATATAGAGAGTCTGTCTTTCTCCACAGTTTGGCTTAAAGGTCCAGTGTGTAACACTGAGGAGGGCCTAGTGTCAGAAATAGAATATAATATTCATAGGTATTCGTTACTGTTTAATCAGGACTTTAGACCTTAAAATGAGCTGATTTTATCTTTTTGGATACTTTCTTACACCCCTACCAACTGTGATGCCTTGAGTTTGGCGTTCAATCGTCACCATGATGGTTAGTAGTTAGAGCCAGTGGAGGTCACGTACTGCGAGTTGAGCTGCTCTCATTGGCTGCTCTCGGTTTGGAAACAATGGTGGCTCGCCTGCTCACACAGGATCTGGTATTCCAGATAAACAGTAAAATGTGTTTGTGAACAGATCTGAGGAGAGAAATAGTCAACAACAGAATCTGGATCCATATCTGATCAGTACTGTTTGACAGTTTGATCTGAGTTTGGTTGAGCTGGACGGACTCACTGAGAATGAGCTGTCAATCACAAGGTAGCCCCGCCCTAAAGCATACCCTGCTTTATGGTCTGTTTTACTCTAAATGGGACCATCAGTTACTAAATGAACATCATGCTGTATGGAAGAAGACTGAAACTAGAGACTGAGACCAGAAACTCATCAGGAAACTGGGCTAATAAATCAAGACTCAATACTATCAGAGTGGAGCTCCCCCTACTGGTCATTACATAGAATGCAGGTGTAAGGCACTTCCACATTGGCTTCACTTCACAGACCCGGTAGCTCTGCCCTCTACTCATGATTACAGGATAAAAATACAAAAAATGTTGCCTTGAAGAACTCGCTGATGCTCCATTAATCTGTCCTCTGTCCTCTCAGTGCAGGTATCGGGAGGACGGGTTGTTTTATAGTCAGCAGTATCGGCTGTCAGCAGCTCAGAGAAACAGGTCAGGTTGACATCCTGGAGACTGTGTGTCAGCTTCGACTCGACAGGTGGGTGTCCTCTCTCCTCTCTCTGTCTCTGTCTCTGTCTCTGTCTCCACTGTGGAACATTTGGTTTATTCCCTCAATGTAGCAAGTTTAACCTGTAGTCCTCCCTCCCCATCCTATGTAGGGGTGGTATGATCCAAACCACAGAGCAGTACCAGTTCCTGTACTCCACATTGGCCCAGTACAGCTCCCAGCTACAACACAACCAGGTACTGACATGTTCAACTGCTGTCAGATTAAAGGGACAGTTCACCCAAAACTACGTCGGTACACCGACCCCTGGATCGATCTAAAAGAACCACGAACTGGTCGATGGTCCGTTTCTAAAGTTATGAATCGGTTGACTGAAACTTTGCTGCTAATAAAAGGTAAAAGGTCAACGCCAGGGTCTCGCTACAAGTAACCAACAGAATTTACGGATGGTCTAAGATAATTATTGCAGAAAGTCTTTGTTGAGACATTTGTCAAAGAAAGAAATACTTTTTCAGGTGTTTTATAAAATATATGTATCTGAAGGTAAACAATGTCACTTTTATAGAATTGGCTTATTTTAATTGAGAATGGAAAATAAATGTCTACATTAAACAAACGTTAAGAACTTTATCAGATTGCATCAAATAAAACCAAATCATTTTATATTAAAATGCATCGTATCTTAGCCCATGTATCTGGATACGTATCGGAAACGCACACCCCTAAATATCTGTATGTTTCTGAGATAAAGAGTGAGGGAAAAACATGTCTGTGGTCTTCTGACACACCTTGGTAATCCTCAAGAGTCATAAAACCAGTTTTCACCTATGACCATCAGGGTAAACCATAACTATATCTTTTCATATAAACCTACATCTGTAGTATTATTCTTAACTGTCCCACTATAACCCATCTAGCACTGACTATTAATCCAGTTTAAGGTCAAGTGTTGACCACTGAACCACCGACCTGAACCACAGATGGTTTGAACCTCCAGCACCACAGACTGCAGTTTACATCCCAAAATGTCAACACTGGTTTAACCATGACCTTCCCCAACCTCAACTAGCTCGTTTCAGTTGCCTAAACTTAACCGGACTTTAGAGAGTCTTGTGGTTTAGATTTTAGGTTTCTGTGAGTCCCCACAGTGCAACAGTTAAACTTTGTGTTTCCTCTTCACAAGGACCAGAACCAGCAGAACCCAGAGCACCAAGTCAGCATACAGTTACAGAACCTGCAGCTGGACGACACACAGAATGTGAAGAACTGATACCGTACAGAACCCGGAGAACCAGCGGGTTCACACCTACAGAAATCCAGGAGAACCAACAGAATGCATCACAAATATTATTATTATTATTATTATTATTATTATTATTATTATTATTATTAATAAAACCAGCAACTGGACGCCAGCAGCCGAGCCCAAAGAACTGATGCACTCACAGATGAAGAGTTTGGGGAACCAGCAGTTTCAGAAGTGTCGGGATCAGACAGGAACCCCAAAAGAACTGGATATTTACATGCATACAGCTGAAGAAGAACCCAGAGCATCACGTTCATCCTGGACTGAAAGTCTCACTAATCTTTCTCAACTGAAGCTTGAACCAAGAGAACCAACACAGAAAATGTCCTTTGCACAATGAATCACATTAAATCCAATAAAAAAGTGAATCTTCTTTGACGCTGCTGATGTGTTTAAAGAAATGAATTAATGTTGATAGAGTGTGATTGTTCAATAAAGCAGTATGGGGTAACAACAAAAGTAATGTTTTTGGGGTGGTAGCAGTAATATTATTACTGAAATGTATTAGTAATTAGTTACACTACTAGTTACTGGGGAAAGTAATACACTGTAAAACCTGATGAGTTAGTTCAACACAAACTGTTTGAGGAAACCGATATTTGATTTAAGTAGAAGTAACTCAAGTATTTATTGTTAAGGTAATTTGGATAAATTAAGTTAATTCAGTTAATTAAAGTTACTCACATGCAGCATTTCTTTTATTTACAGTTTTTTCCAATTGCTAAAACACGATTTTGCAAACCAGGCTGGTTTTATCAAAATACTTAACACAATTCACAAAACCACAAACCCAAACTGCAAAATAACTCGTATATCCTGCAAAATGAAGCACTGCAACCAAAACTACATATAGCATTATCAAAATCATCATTATCAAAACTTTTGCACCAAATGACACACACTTCATTCATATTACCAGGTTTTTGTCTAACCAACTACACACTGTTGGGCGTAATGAAAAGCATTCTCATCTTTAGTCTGCTTTGCCATAATACTAAAATAGTTCAAATTGTAGAAACTTCTTCAGATTGTTCACATGCACAGAAATATTTGCAGATACACACACATGCTGTTGAAACATCAACATCAACAAGTCAGTGCAACATATGCACAGCAGATATATTTACATTGGAGTGAACAAAAATATGCTCACAAGAAACAATAAACTGAAGAAGAAAATTGCAGAAAAAATGTGCAGAAAAAATATATAGGAAAAAAAAGACCTGTGGTCTTTTTATGGTGCTTACTTCCTGATTGAAGTGGTAACAATGAACCATTGAGGTGTTTGTCCAGGTGGATCATATATTGACCAATCAGCTCATGTAGTGTCATTTTGAATGGCAGTATTTTGAAATGGCAAACATGTTGACTTTATGTCAGATTGTTGTGTCTTATGCAGAGAACCGTGTTCAGTGCATTTAAAAAGTGTCATTTTGAATTGCAAAATGTGTGTAAAGCAGAAAATGTGTTCAGAGTTTTGGAGACTTGAGAAGAGGTTCTGCTCTCTGTGTGTCAGTTTAAATAATTGTGCTATGTTATTTTAGTGTGTTAGCAATTGGAAACAACTGTAAAATGTGTGAACAGAATTTATCTGAATAAAGTCACTTAAATGCATCTTTATACAAATGTTTTCAGTTGAATTTACTCAGTTCTCTTCCACTAAAGCAAAGTATTACATTACAGCTGACGTATGATAAAAAACAAACTATAATTAATTGATTATCAAAATGGTTGTTTTGGGGGATCATTAAGAAATATTTGGATTCATACTTATGTTTAATAAACTAAAATATAATCCTGAGCTGTGCAGCATTAGAATAATATAATATAATAAATAATAGAGGTGATTACTAATAATGTTAATGTTGAGATCCTTTAAATACTGCAGTATCAGAGTATTGCACATTAACCAGAGGAGCTGCTCCCCCTGCCTCCCCGGTAGTTTCCACCCTAATGTGACCCAACACAACAACAGAGGGCGGTGTTTCCATCACTTGAAGTGTCTCTCTCTGTCTGTCTCCTCTTTGCTCTCCTCTGCTTCCTCTATCAACCCCACCCAAACAGGAAGTGGAGAACAGAATCACTTTTATTGGTGCACACACGCAAGGAATTTTACATTACTCTCAATGCACATACATAAATAAACATAAATAAACAGGACAACAAAATGGACATAAGCTCTTATGTACAGATATAGATATATATAAACAAAAACAATAATATTTGTAGACAGTAGAGAATAGTGCAGAGTGCAAAGGGTGCTGGAATAAATATTTATGTGCAGGTATTTTTATGTAAATGAGGTAGGTGGATATATTTACACTAATATACAGTATGACCAGCATGTGTAGATGAGTTTGAATCATTGTATTTATAAAAGAAAATTAATTTCATCAATGAAAAACATAAACATTAGATAGTTTACAGTTAGAGTCTTTTATTGCACAGGGATTGTTCCTGATACACAACAAGTCAAGTCAGCTTTATTGTCAAAATATGCAATATGCACAACATACAGCACAGATGAAATTACAGACGGTGCAAACAGGCAATACAAATTCATTTTCAATTCAATTTTTATTTTCATAGAAATAAACAATCAACAATCAACAAGACATAAAATAAACAATCAACAGTTCAATAAAACCCAACAATATAACCAATAACAGAAAACACCTCCTGTGGTTAATTTCCCACCATATTCTTAAAACATTTGACTTCCCTGCGGACTTTATTTTGAAAGTCTGTACCGGAAGCGTCGCGGTGGCTAATATCGCTGACAGCTGGAAGGAAAAAGGCGTCGCTAGCAAACAGCGCAGACATTAGCGCCACAACGCCTTCCCGACACCCTCTCCGGTCCACAGGAAGCCCTCCGGTGTCCTCCGTGCCCCCCCGGTACCGTCCGCGGCGGTCACACCGACTGTCAACCCCCCCCGAACGGAGAACACACAGACTGTCGGGGCGTTAGCCAGCCAGCTAGCAGAGCCACCTAGCATTAGCATTAGCAGTAGCGTTAGCAGCAGACGACAGGAAGATGATAGCGCTCATCAACAAGCTGCTGGACTGGTTCAAGGCGCTGTTCTGGAAGGAGGAGATGGAGCTGACCCTGGTCGGGCTGCAGTACTCCGGGAAGACCACCTTCGTCAACGTCATAGCGGTAAGCTGCAGGTGGCTAGCTGTCAGTTAGCATCCGGCTGCGTCCATTGTTACCCTCCGCGAGCACGGAGGAGTGTGTGCGCGTGTGTGTGTGTGTGCGCGTGTGTGTGTGTGTGTGTGTGCGTGTTTATAGGTGGGTTCGTGTTAGACGGTAAACATCTGTACAGGGTTCATACGGAGCCCCCCCGCTGTCCGCAGGGCCGGAGCATGATCTATGAGCTGTGATTGGTTTGATTGGTTTGATTAGGTCTGCTGTTGGAGGATCGATCACCCCCCCCCCGCTGACAGAGTGACCTTCCCTCCCCAGTCTCTCTCCAGAGTCCATCACATCGTCATCAGCTGACATCAGCGTGTTTCTGCTCCCCGGTTCCGGCTGACCCACTGACATAGATTTACTATTTATATAATAATAATAATAACAATAATAATAATATATTTTCTTTCTGTGAGGATCTGTGGTGATGAGTTCAGGGTCCTCACTCGTCCTGGAAATGTACAGACTATTTCCAGTCATGGAAAATAATGAAAATGTCCAAATATCCTTTAAAAAAAAAATTCATTTTAATGATATTAATGATCTGATTTAATACTTTAACTTTCTGTAAATGTATACAAATGTATTTGATTTGAACTGTTAAAGTTTCCTGAAACTGAAGTTTGTATCAACCTTTTGTTCGACTGACGACAGATTTTTATCAACAATATTTGAGACTTTTAAAAACTGTATTATTGAACATTGGTGACACATTTAAAAAGTCAATACTAATAATGTCGTCCTTTGATCAGACTGTTGCTTCTCTTATTAATATTCCTTCAGCAGTTATTCGTCCAGTAATGTTCAGATATTCAGTTTTAGTCCGGGTTGAGTTTCTCCAGCTGCTCTTTAAACAGCTTCCTCCTGTTCCGTATATATACTGTAATGTTCATTTCATTCATGTTTAAATGAATATAATAATAATATATATTTATATGATGCCAGTAACATGTTGTTGATGGAGACCCTGGTCTATAAATCCTGTTCTCCAGATGTAAACTGACGGAACAATATTTAATACAGATTCCCAAAAATGTCAAAGCATCATGATTTTAAGTTTATTTCAGTAAAAAAAACAGCAGAAAACAAACGTATCAGTCCAAACTTTTTTTTTAATGTATTTTAATGTATTTTAATGTATTTTAATGGATAAATGATGGAGAACGAGGGCAGATGTGGAGTTAAAGGTCCCATCTGGCCACCTGGACACACATCTGTACACACAGATCAATACAGTGTATCTGAGCTGAAATCGATCAGTAACAGCAGATACAAGAATATGATGGTTGCTGTGTGTGTGTGTGTGTGTGTGTGTGTGTGTGTGTGTGTGTGTGTGTGTGTGTGTGTTACAGTCTGGCCAGTTCAGTGAAGACATGATTCCCACAGTCGGCTTCAACATGAGGAAGATCACTAAAGGCAACGTCACCATCAAGGTTGGTTCTCACACACACACACACACACACACACACACACACACACACACACACATACATACACACACACACACACACACACACACACACACACACACACACACACACACACACACACACACACACTTATTTATAGTGGTAATCAGTTACTTATGGATCCTCAGAGGGAACCATTGAGACCTTCTCCTCCTTTAACTGTCACATTTTATGGATGTTTCATATTAGATTCAGTAATAATAATAACAGCTGATAAACTGAACCATTAAAACAACTGCAGGAAGTTTGAGGTCTGAGCAGATTATTTCCTGTGATTATTGATCAGAGATCAGTTTTATTGATTGTTTTAGGGACGTTTTTATACAATAAAATACCTGTTATGTCTTTTTTATATTTGCACAGTTTTACAGACTTGATAGGTTTCTTCTTTGACACTTGACCGTCGTTCTTTCATCTCATTGGTTTTAAATTCAAACTTTTCTAACTTTTCTTAACACCCAGAAGGCTCGCGACCCCCCATGAGCCTTTGGTGACCCCTTTTCCATCAAACGTTCATAAAATATCAATTATAGAAAATATTTAGACTAATCTAGAGAATAAAGAGGCAGAAATGACGTCCATGCAGTGTTTTTTTACCCCGCACACACAGACAACAAACAGAAATGTGTTATTTTATTCGTAACAGAGATAAAACTCTGCAGTTTCTGTTGTATTTGTTCATTTTTAATCTCTTTCTTTATGTTGAGACGCTCACTAACCGTCTCCCTGTGTCTGCAGTTGTGGGACATCGGTGGTCAGCCTCGGTTCAGGAGCATGTGGGAGCGTTACTGTCGAGGAGTCAGCGCCATCGTGTAAGTCCCTAAACTGTGGTTCTGATCCCTAGAGGGGGTCGCTGGGACGTCTCAGCACGACAGGAGACGTTAATGAGAGCAGAGAGACGGGGGATAGTCACGCATGTTAGTCCAGCAGCTCCTTCGGTCCAACAAACAGACACGTTCCTCACAGGAAGAAGATTTAAATGTAACATCTGAAGGTTTTTGATGACAAAGAGTTTGATTCAATCACATTAAATGTCATCAAAAATCTTAGAATTTGATCATCAGGAAGAAGCTGAATGCAGAATTCAGTCCTGTAGTCTTGTTGAGTCACATTACCACAGTTGTGTTAGTGAGACGGGAGAGGAAAGCTTCAGGGCAAACGGGGCAGATTTATGTAACAAAGAGGACCAAAGTACAGTGGAGATGTAGTAAAAGTGATCCTGATGGGCTCGGTTGTGGTTTTTGTCGAGTTCAGCAGGACAGACCGTGTTCTGATATAAATGACGATGAGATCACAGTTTCTTTCTCTCTGTCGCAGCTACATGGTGGACGCAGCAGACCCGGAGAAGATCGAAGCCTCCAAGAACGAACTCCACAACCTGCTGGACAAACCGCAGCTGCAGGGAATTCCTGTAAGAACGCCAGAACAAACCGGAGTGAACGGTTTAAACCAATATTTAAGATTTAACAACCCATCAGAGCGAGTCAATAAACACCTTTCCTTTAATGAGACAGAACAGTTGGGTGCGTTCAGAACCTCAGACAGTGAGCAGATGTTTCCACACGCTGTCTTGAAGCTTGTAGGGTTTTTGAGAGCGACTGTCGGTCTGAGTGAACCAGAACGAGTTAGCTGCAGCGGACTGAACAATCTGGACCAGAGCCAGTTGAACTGAGCCGAACTATCAGATTAAACATCAAACAGTGGACCTGATACAGTGAGCAAAACCAACCAAACACACATCTGTGAACAGGGAAAGCAAATTGTTTGTGTTAGAAATGAAACATTTAATGAAAATTATAGGAGATAAAAGGCAGATATAGTGTGTTTAAAGTTTAATGCTTCTGCACAGCCGGTTTTGAAACGTCAGCACTTTCTATCTTTAAACCCTTTTATACCCTTTTAGTCTCCTCAATAACACCTCTATGGACAATGTTTCAGCAGCAGCTTGGCTGATCTGGACAATACAGGAGGGGTTTGTGGGGGGGGGGGTTATTGATGATGATGCATCCATTTCTGACATTTACAAAATATAAAATCTATGTTTGAACCAGAAGTTTCCACATTTCAACTCCCAGTGGGCTGATTTTTCTTCATTTTGAGTTAATTTTGATATTACTTATAATATATTACATATTAATAGATTGGACCTGTGTTTTGGATACAAGAAAGCTCAATGTCATTATACAAATGTTCAGATGTGATATTTCTTGGTATTCTTCAGTTCTGTTGGTGTTTTTTCTGCTGTGCAGCATTTTGTTATTGAACTGTGTCTCTGCTGCAGTGGATATGTATTAAGCATATAAATAACCTCAAAATGAATCAAAATCATCCCACTGGGAGTTGAAATGTGGAAACTTCTGGTTGAAACGTCCATTTTGTATTCTGTAAATGTCGATTCAGCATCCTCGATATTCCCCTAAACCAACTCCTATATTGTCCAAATCAATCAATCAGGTAATGAAACATTTTAGCATCTGGCAGTTTCTAAATGCTCGAGACCCAAACTGAACATTTCTAACAAACCTTTAGGATACTCAACACTTCTGGGTTCACAGTGGGGAAGAACTGGCTGCTAAAAACCAAAACCTTCTCTTTATTTTAGCACCGGTTGCATCTTTAAAGGTATCTTTTAGTGGCGTCACTGAAGCTGTAGTCGCCCCAGAGTGATCAGACGGATGTTATCTGAAGCTGCAACGTGCTGCACTGTGACTGACAGCTGTTATATTCTCTGATGTTTGTCCCGTCTGTGTGTCTTCTTCAGGTTTTGGTTCTGGGCAATAAGAGGGACCTACCAGGAGCTCTGGATGAGAAGGAGCTCATAGAGAGGATGTAAGTCAAACCTCACTCTAACCTTTTATCAGTGTGAACAGAGGTCACATGCTTCATGGATGTGAGCTATGTGTGTTTTGGTATGTGGGCTACCTCCTGCTAGCTTTCAGTAAATGGTTACTTTGGTGTTGAAGATGTAACACGGCTGCTCCCACTGTGACTCGCTAGCTCCCCCTTTTGGACTCAACTGTGAGGAACAGACATGTTGCTCTATATTATCCACATTGTTCCCACACGTCCTGGAAAACCTGGACATTTAGACTAGTTTTCCAGTTATGGAAACAACTGAAAATGGATTTAGACAACCAAATATCCTGGAAATGTTTCATTGTGTTTTAGCCCCCACAGAAACCTGGGTGCATATTTAGTTTGACACTCGGCTGTCTGTCAGGAGAAGCTCTGAGGTTGAATGTGTCTGTACTAGTCCCAGCAGTCAGCTATATGACTGTGAGCAAGTGCTGTCCTGTGTCGTTTATCAAGTATTCCTGGAAAATTAGTTTCTTAGAAAGAGTGTGGGTACTGTTGCTGCATGAATGAGTAATTGTTGACATTCCTGTATCACTATCTTTGATTGTGTTTTTACTCAGGAACCTGTCGGCCATCCAGGACAGAGAGATCTGCTGCTACTCCATCTCCTGCAAGGAGAAAGACAACATCGGTACCACACACACACACACACACACACACACACACACACACACACCACACACACACACACACACACACACACTATACGTATACTCACTTTTTAAAAATGGCGACCCAGTTCACAGCAAAGAGAGCAAATTTGTGCATAAACAAACTTTTTCTGACCATTTTTACTGATGTTTCTACATCACTTCACATTTTCTTGAGCAGGTAAAGTGGTTACGTTTGTTTAATCAAAGCTTCATCATCAGTGAAACAATGAACACATTTTAAATACTTAATGAGATCAAATGCATTCAGGTTAACAGGCTTTGATTAATGGAGTTAAGGATCTTGTTTTTCCATCATCAACAAGACAATGTACACATTTTAAATAATTAATACCAAATAATTATAATTGTGTATATTTCACAGAATATAAAATGTCAGCATACACAAGTTTGGGATCACTGATGTTTTTCTTCTTTCTGCCAATAATGATGATTTTAAAAGATTAAAACAAATAGTTTAGTAAATAATAGTTTTGGCCCCAAAAGAAGAATAATTAAAGGATTAAAACGTCTGTTTAGTGGATGTCCCCATAGTGCTGCATGCTGGGAGAATACTGTCTCTCAGTACCATTATTTCCTCCAGATACCGTCGATGTTAAATTGGTTTTCCAAACCAGGAAAGCCGCAGTGACCCGAGATCATTATTGAATCACAGCGATGAGACTGGACACTGGAAGGTAGTCAGAGCTGAAGCTGCTGACACAGTCTATATAATGACGTCATGCTACATGCCTGACATTATTGCTTTTTGCATTAATTTGAATGGTCAGGATCGTGTATGGACTCCATTTTACACCTTTTAGTGGATAAAACAGATTAAAAAAACAGGTGAAACCACTTTTCTTCCATAAATAATCAGTGTGGACACATACAAGTGAGGAAAGTCATTATAGGTTTAAACATTTATATGAACTAATGGTTTTCATTATGTCAGATTTGAGCCCCTCAGCTCCCCTACGTCAGTACTGTGGCTGTATATATCTCTCTGTCAGTGGTCAGATTGAACAGCTTTAAACTGATCTGTTGGTCCATAGTGTTCAGATGTTAACCCTGCACCAAACGTCTGTTTCTATTCTGACCTTTTAACAATAGCATTATTGAGCAGGAACCTTACAGGAACCTTAACGTTGAGCCGCACACACGACTGCGATCAGTCAGATCTTTTGGATCCAGTTCTCAGGTCCCATCCCTGCTTTGAACCCAGAAGATTAAAACCACACTTTGCTTTTCTTTCACACTCTGCTGACGTCACATGTGTCTCTCTCTGCAGACATCACTCTTCAGTGGTTGATCCAACACTCCCGGACTAAGAGGAGTTCCTGAGAACAGAAAACAGAACAGGCCACGCCCACCTGTCCTAACACACACTCGCTCTTTGATCAAAACCCCTCCCCTGAAAACTTTACTCCCTAACCCCCCACCTGTCCTCCATCCATCTCTCCCTTCCTTATATTAACACCTCCTGACCTCCACCCACCTCCATTACACCTCGGGATGCACTCATACCTCCGTTTTGTTTTTATTCAAGTACTGACCAAAGTCTCTGTGTCATCCACATCCTCCTGACGGACACACTCAACCTCCATCGTTACGGTTGAAGCTGTGATTTTAAAATTAATACTTTCCTGGAATATATCTCACATTTTCTGGGATTTCTCACCTTAAATGAAATGCGATTTTAAACACACAGTTAATCAGAAATGTACGTTAATTCAAATTTTATTCATATATATTCATTAGTTCTGTGTGTTAACAGAATAAAGTTTCCTCTCCTAAGTTGAATGAACAGCAGTGACAACCGTTGCTTCCGTGGTTCAGTTCAGTTCTTTGGAAGCATCGTGAGGTTTGGAGAAGGCGTCTTTGTTGTAGCACATAGAAAATGTCTTCGGTACACCAGCACACACGCTAACGCAGGTATTTTTTCCGGGAAACGGAAGCAGATTTTGTCGAGAATTCCCAGGAAAAACCGGGATCTCAATTCCCGCCACTCAACCCTTGTTAGGGGTGTCACACCACAGAAGTCTGAGGAATTAATTAATACTGTAGTTAAAGGAGCATTTCACTCAAATTACACAGCAGGACCATTTCTGAAAGGTTTTCCTCACAGTGAAGTCAGTGACCTCCACTGTGTCTGGGTGGAGGTAATAAAACCAAAACCATCTGCATTAATAGAAACTATAAGAGAGAAAATCTTCTTATTTTGTAATTTTGGGTGAAGTGACTTTTTTAATTTTCAGTAAATGAACCCAGCAGTCAGTCAGTGTTTGATCCTGGCGACAGAAAAGTGGTATCAGTGCATCTTTACAGATCCATACAGCAGCCTCTGTGATAACCCGTGCTTTTATTTTGGTGGGGAGCCTCAGCCAAACATCTCTCTGCAGCCAAAACTGTCGGCCATATTGACTTTTAAGGGAGAAAGAAAACAGATTTTCTTGTCATTAGCATTGTTAGCCGGTTAGCTGGAGCCTGTTTTGTGGATCTCACTTAAGTTTTTCCCATGATCCTCCTCTCCTCCCCGACCTCCACCTTCTCCACCACCAAAAATCTGCCTTCATCATTTCTCCTCTGTTGATTTTCCTTCCTTCCTCCCTCCCTCCATCTGTTTCTCCCTTTCTACCTCCACATCTTCCATCCATCCATCCACGCCTCCATTCGTTCACATTTATATAATCCTGAGAAGCCCCTCTTCCTCCCTCGTCTGTTGTGAACTGCTTGTCCTCCTCTGTATTCCCTCTATCTTTCCTTCCTTTTCTTATTTTTGGATGTTCCCTTCTTTCTCTCTTTCCTCGTCGCCAAGCCCCGCCCCTCGTCGTCTCTCTCTCTCTCTCTCTCTCTCTCTCTCTCTCCTGCTGAGCGAGGGATTAAAAACCTTTTTATTGCACTGTTCATTTTGGTTTTGTAAGATATTAATAATGAGAATAATGTTAATAATCTTCTTATTGTGACATAACCTGGTCTGGCCAGATTTAAGGAAGTGGTACTTTACTGGCAGAAGGAGAAATGTTATTGTTTCTGTTCATATCTCTGTAATAAGCTTTTTATTTCTTATTTGTTTTATATTGTTATTATTTTTTATTGTTGTTTTTTGACTTCATAAGTCTACTCTGGAGCCAGAGTTCAGTGTTTTCTGCTCTGAGATGTCTGCTGATCGGACCAGGGGTGATCAAATGCAACCTTCACATCACGTCGATGTAATTAGTCACGCCTGATTTGTTGAAACTCCCACATATTAAATGTTTATTGTAAAATCGATTGATTTAAACGTTTTCATCCATTTATTTTGATGCATTTATGACACCAGGTGTGACAACAAAACACATTTCGGATTCAAAACTTGATGTACAAAACTTAACATCCTTCCTCACAAGCTCTGAGAAATGTCCACATCCTGGTTTTAAGTGCCACAAGATGCAGCGTGATTATGGAAGTCTGCTGCTGCCAATGTTGAAGTAAAAGTTTAATCAATTATGCATTTTTCTTGCATATAATGTGTAACAATTAAAATCTTTAAATCAAATAGTAATTTTAGTGTTTGAAAAAACACAATTACTATCAAAGTGAAATATTTTTCTGTGTACTCTAGACTGAACTTTTAAATTAAATCTTTTTTAGCTCGTTTCTAATGAAAATTAAATGTAAATAGCTTTCTTCATGGTCATTTTCATAGTCGGCAATTTCAGAAAAAAAAGACCCGGGAGAATCCTGCAGTTACAGAAATTTTATTTTCATCAGAAATGAGCTAATATCAGGACATAAAAACTCCAGTTAAGGTTGCACAATCTGACACCTTCACTTTTAATGTTGTTATTATGCCTTTGTTACACTGATTTTTATTAAATGGCGGTAATAATGAATTTTGCCAATTAGATGTGCACATGAATGCAAAGGACTCCATTTTAATGTTGGCAGCCATAGACTTGCACACAAAACAGTGTTCACCGTTTCTATTTATGGTATGTATGATGATAGGAATGTGGTTTAAGACCAGGGTTCGGACTGCGCTGACTCTGAATGATGCTACACAAGGAAATCTACTTTATATTTATCTCAGACATATAATCAGTTGGTGCTCATACAGCTGGTCGAAGTTTAGAACCAGCTTTTGGTGAATGTGAAGGAATATGTTTTTGGGTTTATTTTTTTGGTGTGAATGGTAGCAGCAGTTTTTCAAGCATTTAAACTTTTAGCTCGCTAGTTAAGTGATCCAGTTTAGTTTCTAAATAAACGGCATTGACGATAGCTAAACAGCAAGTACTAAAATAATGTTTTGATAGTTTTGACTGAAAAATAATCGCGCTTGTCAGATCATAGATTGTAATCTGTTATGGAATTAGGAAACTTTAAGAGAAACTTCAGTGAAAACTACATAAGAAGGTTTTCATCAAAAGTTTCACAAAACTTTAGCATGTAGCTTCGTACAAACATTAGCATTAAACTTACATCCTCACGCTATTTTCACACTACTTTGCTTGTTTGTCTCATTTGCAGCATCTTAGTCAGCTCTGTCCTTCTATTGGTGCATATCACATTTCTGACACATCCTGGTCCTGACAGCAGCCAATCAGAACAAACAGGAGAAGGAAGGAACATTACCTGTCTGTATGTTGTTCTGTATTAAGGTCGTTTTGTTAAAGAGTGGTCAAACTGTCAGCAGCTTATGTGGGTGATTCATTCTGCTCGCCCACACTCGCCTGCTTTACGCTGTCGGGCCGAACAGGGTCTGTCTGGTTTTAGATTTAAGATCTAGACAGACTGAGACTTTCTCAATCTGCTTTCTTTTGTATCCCAGCATGCATTTCACATCGACAGCAAAGCACATAAGTGTTATAACAATAATTCAAACCCTTTATGTTACAACTGTAACTGACCAAATCTAGCAACAGATTAACAGCTTGGATTCAGCTTGGTTGAATTATCAAAATAATGCCTGATTTGCAAATGTAAGGATCTCTTTGGAGCTGTAGCGCAGTACAGGTGTGCTTAAATGAACCACCTGAGCACAGCTGATCTGGTGAAGTCAGCAAGAATGCTGTCCCAGTTATAGACTGAGTGTTCTTGTGGGTTATGACTTCCGAATTTAACTTGTTGTTGTTGGAACCCACTACAATGCTAGGCCCAACTCTGAACAATGTGAGATCAAAGTCCCAGAAACATAAGATAGATCTTAGCTCTTAACTAAGAAAGTCCTTTTGTTTTTCTCGATGTAATCGTTTCCACAACAGAGCCAAACAGCTGTAATCTTCAAACAGACCAAATCTTTAGCCCGACAGCGGAAAGCTGCAAATTTCTTAATAACTACCCAGAGCTGTGGATCTGAAGGAGCTGTTGTAATAAACTGGATCACTGGAAGGTCCAGTACCCCCCCCCCGATGAAACACCAGACAACAACAAGCACAACAGTCGAATGTTTGAATGAAATTGTTTAATTCCAAGAAAAACTGAATCTCCTTCAGGCTTCTGGTAGCTCAGTTTGTTCCTCAGCTTCTCCGGGATTCAGGCTCTGGTGTTTTCTGAACCAGCGAAAAGTTGTTGTCTGATTCGTTCTGGTCCACTCGAAATTTATTGATCTGTTGATCAGCCAGCACAGTGATTATTAGTTATTGATGCGGTCAGACAGATGAGATCGCAGAGGGAGTTTCAAAGTCTCGATTTATCATCCAGCAGAGAGTTAACAGGAATTTGCAGGAGTTTGATTCAGCGGACGAAAGGTTAATTGTGCTTCGAACAAAGTCGGTTTGATAACGAAGTCTTTCACGTTTAAAGGCCTGAAAAGAGAAAAGTGATTCACTACGGAAGAGTTAATGCTCTTAAAATCTGACGTGGCTAACATTTAACTCGCATGACTGATTGCTTTTTCCAACTGGAGAATTGGCACCACCGACTGCTTATCTCCTGAACCAACTCTTAATAATTGCATAACAGTAGTGGATGGAAACAAGCATTCAGTCAAATTTAAAAAATCAGAAAACGGTAAAACTGGGTTTAACACAATTGGCCGGTTGCTGCGTAAAGTTGGCATCATTAATGGTTTTGAAAGGTAGCACAAATTGTCGGATGCAGCAGATTTCAGGCACTCGTCGAGGAGCCGACAAGCTGGTTTAAGACCATGGCACATGTGATTTTCAAAATGGAGTTTTAAGAAACCCTGTTAAAACTAGAAGTACCTGTGGAGTCAAACAGTTGTCACTTTTCTTAGTTATTTAAATACAGAAAAAGAACAATAATTGGTATCACAAGAGGACAGATTATACCTGACCAGCTAAAATGTGTTGTCTCCTGTGTTCTAGTAAACTCTGAGATCCAGCAGCTGCTAGTTTAGCAGCCTGCCAGGTGTGAATCAAAGCAGGAAGACGCCTTCAGACGACAGCTGTGGGTATTTTCTGTCCTTTCTTATCAGGTCGAACGTGTGAACCTTGAAATCTCCCCTGCAGCTCTGTTCTGATCGGCTCTGGTCTCTTCTGTTTGCATGCTGAGGGCAAGGATTGTATATCTGTGGGACCCGATGAAGTAAATCGTTATTTTGGTGCAACTTTACCGTAAAATGGCCTTAATCCAGTGTGTCAACTTGAGTATTAACCTACAGAAAAGTAATGCAAGTTACACAACATGAGATGTACTAAAACAGTGCAATAAAACAGAAGAATCCACAGGAGGAGGATCGCATCATGACAGTGTGCTTACAAGACTTTTCTCACATATACACTGGAATACGGTCATTGTTATGTGAAGTGTGACCAGATTTTTTATGGCAAATAATCTAGTAACGTCCTGTAATCCTGCATGTACAAACTGAAACTGGACAGGAGATTTCTACGGAGTCGTCACCAAAACATGAGAAAAAAGACAGAACCACCGGTGTCATTGATCGGTGAACAAAAGACAACCAGTGAAAGTACTGTGAAAGGTTATCTCGTGATGTATTATTAGATTATCTTTTGAATGATTGTGGTCATTTTAAACAAGAACAAGTCATACAGTTAGTAAATTCAACTGAATTCAAAACTGAAGTCAAACAACTGAATGACTAAAATTAAGATATAAAAACAACAACAACAAATTGAACCTAACATCTGGAGATGAGTTTGAAGTGAATCTGACGAACTGGTTCTGACTGGACTTCTGTGGTTTTGTTGATGATTCTGTAGCGTTGGTGAACAAAGTGTTTGTATGTGCAGGCCAAACACGCTGAGACGGTCCGTCAGTCTGAACCTGTTTGTACATTATTGTTTGATTCAGTTGATATATAATGTGTTTTAATAGAAACATGCTTGTGTATGATACTAATAAAATACTATGGACAAACAACTTGAGGTATTTATTTCTCTCTGGACAATAACGTCATTGTCTTACTGTGCGATATACAACATGACCTCGATAATCGATAAAGTTTGTCAAAATAATCTACTGGGTGCCATTATAAGACTTTTATTTAGGATATTTTAATATTCTTTTCAATTCCAATGTCTGAATATTCTTAATAATTAAAAGTTGCTCACTCTGAGGTACACTTGCATTATCATACTTAATTTAAGAAGCAATATATGATTAGATGCTCTTATTTCTGTTAGTAAAATATCATCCAAAGGTTTTTATAGTTTTAATAAGGATCAGTGGACCAGCAGTGGTTCTTTAGCCCACAAATGTTTTTTTTGTTGTTTTTTTATGGTTTCTTGCGTTGGACAAACTGGTTTATGTCGAGGATTGGACGAGTAGAGTTCTCTCAACCTCGTAAACTGTTGTCTCATGTAAGAAAAAAGCAAAAATAAGAAACATTTAAAAGTAGATATTGTGACAGGCCTGATTAATAATATTAAAATTATTATCAGTATTTAAAAAAATATATATTTATACAAGAGTCTGAAAGACATGCACTTGTCACAGAAAACAAAATGAAGGTGAAACAATTTAAACCACGAATATAGTATAAAACATCAATATTGTTACTATGGTAACCTGCAGTGTTGGCTGGAACATGAATGATTTGAACTTTTAACCATCAACATCCGACCAATCAGAGAGCAGTATTGGCTGCGGCGGTGGAGAATCATCCAACAGTCTGAACAGAGATTGTGTCAATGATTCAAGACCTGCAGTGTCACTGATGAGACAGCAGAGGGCAGCACACACACACAGTCTGTGTCTCTGTGTGTGTGTGTGTGTGTGTGTGTGTGTGTGTGTGTGTGTGTGCGCTCTCTCCGGGGTCAGATTCAGACTAATTTGTGGAGCAGCAGCTGAGCTCAGCAGTTCAATCA